TACAAAACGGTACATCCTGGTTCGAATTGAATGGGGGGGGGAATGGTTAGCACGTGCGCACTGTATCATAAGGCCTGTCATTGAGTTAACTGGCGTGGTTTCGAATCCTTGGTTGTACGTGACAAGGAGTAGGCTGGCCTGTCCAACCTCGTGGGTTTCCTCCGGGTCCACCGGTGTCCTCCCACTGCTAAAGACCCCTACGCGCATGCGAATTATTGAAATAAATTAAACCATATGTTAGTCCCGAAATGTGCTAGTTTGTGTCGAGTGGACGTTAAACCCCATTTCTCTCTCTCTCGCGAATTGAATAGAAGTATACGGGACATCATAGTTAAGTAGAGAGAACAATGTATGGCGTACTCTTGTCTTCTTGTCTCGATTCCCCGGATGTACGGGACAAGGAGTAGGGTCGCCTGTCCAACCTCGTGGGTTTTCTCCGGGTACCCCCCCCCCCACACACACACACTGCTAAAGCCCCCTACGCGCAAGCGAATTAATGAAATAAAATTGAACAATATCTTAGTCCCGAAATGTCCTAGTTTGTGTCGAGTGGACGTTAAACACCATCTCTCTATAATATTATCACGTATATAAATATTCTTATATAGTTTCAGATAGCCAATAAATATATAGTTTGTTTTCTTCGATTCGTATGTGTCAAGGTATTTGTATCATGTGTTCTAATCTCCTAAAGTCAAATAAATTGAAGTAAAAATTTGAAATGCTGCTATGTGTTTATTGTGATAAATTAAATAGAAATATTATAATATATCAGATCAGTACTCGTTCAGAGTTTACCCTATTAGTAGAGCTGGTCGTCATGATATATACCGGTTACAATTCTACGGAATTCAATTACTGCTTACTCCATAGAATTGTGACCTGTACATTCCAGTTCAATTACTAAATGTTATTGAAACAATTTATCGACCTGGGAAAACCCCCACCATGATCCAACCTCGTGGATTTTCTCCGGGTCCCCCGGTTTCCTCCCATTGCTAAAGACCCCTACGCGCAAGTGAATTATTGAAATAAAATTAAACCATATGTTAGTCCCGAAATGACCTAGTCTGTTCCGAATGGAGGTTAATCTCTCCCCCCCCCTCTCTCTCTCTGTCTCTCTCTCTCTCTGCATAAGACCCCTATGCGCAAGAGAATTATTGAAATAAAATTGAATCATATGTTAGTCCCGAAATGACCTAGTTTATGGTTTATGTCGATTGGACATTAAACCTCTCTCTCTCTCTTTCTCTCTCTCTCGATTATCTTGGAAGATATAATTTCCACTAAACACACCCTACCCCTATGGTATAATTAATAAATTAGCAAATTGAAAAATAAAACGGTCTGACGATGTTTAAACAACCAACAGTCTAAATATTACTGTAATTCAAAATACCAAATTTTCCACAGGTTAATCCATGGTAACATGTACTCAAATTGATGAACATTTAGGTATGAAAACAAAATCAAAAAATGTAAACAGTCGATAATCTATTCAGTGGGATTAGAAAAACGCTCATTAAAAGATTCAGCGAAACTCATAGGTGGCGCTGTCGGGCATTGACTATATATATCGCCTGCAGTGGATGCCCAATGTTAGCAAATTTTTAATCCGTCATATCTATGTAAATGTTGGGATTGACGTTGTGTTTAGAGATGAAACTTTCACAATAACAATGCCTCATATAACGATCAGAGACTTTAACATTAAATTATTTTTATACGCTCATATTTATTTATTTTTTCTCCCCTCTTCCTGCATTTTGGGGTTGAAGTTTTGGTCTAGAATTGGAGAAAAGGGATCACATTTGCAATTTCATAGCAGTTTTGGGTAATACTGCAGATGATATTACAGCAGAGGGATAGCGGGTGCAAAGTGTCTTTCTGCAGAGCAATCATTAAGTCGGAAGTGAGATTTTCACCCCAGTCAACATCAAATCCCTGTAGCAAAAAAATCTAAACGGTCAAGCCCCTCCACAATTATGATGAGGATATTGCCAGATGTTGTCCTCATTGTGCCTATAAAGATTGGAACCAACGGAATGTTGAGCAAAAAGCTACAGCCTGTGATGTTACAGCCATTTAACATTGAAGTCAATGGGCAAATAATTACTAATCTGAGTGCATATCGTTCAGGAGTTACCCCCTCTTGTAAACGCGATAGAGGCTACGGTTTTTAACGATTCTTTTGAAATTTGAAGTGAAGCATTGTGGTCATGGGAGGACGAAACCTATCCATATGGTAGAGTTATGCCCTTTTCCGAAAACTTTGTGAACGCGATAAAGGCTATTCATTTTAAAGGATCTTTTTTTTTCAAATTTCGTGGGATGCATTGGGGTCATGAGGGGGCAGTTGGAATTCGATATAAGAGTAGGCAAAATTTCCATCATAGCAGGACGTTAAACCCCATTTCATTTCATTTTCTTTTTATTTACAGATATACATGCGGTTTTGTGCAGTTTATTTAAGCTGAGGCCGAAAAAGAAAAAGAAATGTGTAGCTACGGCATTTGTTTTTCTTATGATGTGGATCCTATTTTACGTTGCAGATGAATACACCATCTGTGGTTCTGATCCTTACTCTTTTTTGTCTGAACATTGTTTTGGTGACACTCGAACCCACAGCTATAAATATCTCATCAATGAAGAGGAAATTTGTAAACCTTTCCCTGGCAATATTTTTCTGTTAATAGCAATTCCCTCAAGAACGTCTGAGTTTGAAGAAAGACAAGCTGTGAGGCAAACGTGGGGCTCTTTAGCTGTAAATAATACAGAAATACGATTGGTTTTTATGCTGGGATATCGTCCCGAGATACACAATCATGATTTAAAGACTGAAAGTGAAAAATACCACGATATTATTCAAGAGGATTTTTACGATAGTTACCGTAATCTCAGTATTAAATCTGAAGCCATTCTTCGTTTCGCCAACACGTTTTGTTCTGGTGTAAAATACATACTAAAAGTTGATGCGGATGTCTTTGTTAACTTACCGGCCTTAATCGAGGATTTGCGTAAACGAGATGAAACAAATATGATTATGGGATATATATTTTCATTTCGCATGCCGTTTCGAGATAAAGGATCAAAGTCATACTTAGACCGGATTAGTTATCCATTATCATATTTACCAACTTATGCAACTGGACCCGCCTATATTTTATCCGGAGATACACCAAGAAAATTACTAAGCGTAGCCTTAAACACGAGGCACTATGCTTTAGAAGATGTTTTTATTACTGGTATAGTACGGAAACGTGCAAACGTCGAATTGATTCATCACAGAGGATTCGATTACAGAAAACCATTTGTTGATATTTGTTGGTTTGAAAATAAAATTATTGGACATTCATATACAAAAGAACAAATGATAGAAATATGGTCAGAAAAAGTTCAAAACAAAACTTGCACAACGTCCATAAGAGTGTTTTATATGTTGCATGATTGTTTAGCTTGGTGGTGATGGTGCTACCAGGAAACCGCATTAAGTTATTTATCTGAACCTGTTTCATCGATCACAACGATCAGCTAACCAAAACTGTTAAAGATGCACAGACTTTCTTGCGATTCAGGAGATTTTTAAAACGCACATTTTAAACACTATTATGAGACATGAAAACTGGCTTACCACATAAATCATTTTGTCTCTCGACATTTTGTAGCGCTATGATTATGCACCTCGTTTCGAAATTTAGCGGGTTAAAAGTGAACTATTGGTTTGCCATATCTCATTTAATATAAAGTTATATTCTATTGGTTTACTATATAAAAAATTATTTTCTGTTTAATTCTATTTCAACAATTCGCTTGCGCGTAGGTGTCTTCAGCAGTTGGAGGAAACCGGGGGACCCGTAGAAAACCCACGAGGTTGGACAGGCGACTATACTCCTTGTCACGTACAATCGGGGAATCAAAACCACGCCAGTTGACTCAATGACAGACTTTATGTTACAGCGCACACGCGCTAACCATCCCCCCCCCACCGCCCTCCTTGCATTTAATCAATAATTTACCCACTAAATCAACCACAGGTTTATAGTAACAGTGTGTGAAAGGGTGGGTGCTTTGATGTCATTGGATCAAGTTGTGAGGTTTTAATCACACGTTTGTACATGACAAAGGAGTGAGGTCGCCTGTACAGCCTCACGAGTTTCCCGAATTTCTCCGGACTGCTAAATATCCCTACACGCAAATTAATTAATGAAACAAAATGTACCATATGTTACCTGGATTTCGCAACATGAAAAACTGTCTTGCTGCTATCATTGACCACTTTTGATATTTGTGGTTACAATATGAAGGAATGTGAAACTAACTATTATGAACGATTAAATTCCAGCGCATGATCGTACAAATGCTCGTAATATGCTCTAGCCACGAGAGAGTGTAATTGCCGTGATAAGCTAGTGCAACGTCTCTGTGGGCCTTGTGTTGGTCATCTTGGCTATTTTGATTCCCCGCAAGGATGCAAGGGTGACGTCATCGGGATTGTAGAGATATATAATCCATTCAACAACTTGGGGTGGGCTCCATTTCCACTCCACGCCATGGCTACTGGTAACGATAAAGGGAGACAACTACAATGAACCGAATCAGGATGCAGACCACCATTATCCCCCCCCCACCCCTTGACTTCAATGTGAGGTTGACCACCAACATTTTAAGATACACAAACTTGAAGAAGCATACTAAAAACATGTAACTAGTTGCCGTACATATCACCGTAGCCAACCTGATAACCCCGTTATCCTTCTTCCTCAAAATCATGAATATTTACCAAAACCTGACAGAAAATGTTAATTCAAACACTCTTCGTCCATTCTAGACCTAAAAATAAAAAAATGGGCATGCAAAAGGGGAGAAAAGAGACCGAGAGAGAATTGCTATGATTAAACGAACTACAATTTGTGGGTAATGAGATGGTGAAATTTAATGGTGGTCTGCCTCCATCAATGTTGTCGTCCATTGATTTCTATTCCATACTGTGGAGACAATAATATACTCACTATTTTTATTTATTTGTATTTTTAATAGTATACATGTATATATGTACTAATGTTTATTATTTCTTTTTGATGGTAATTATTCTGGGTAATCGACGGGGTAATAAACAAAACAGCAAACCGGCTAAACATTATAATAAATATATACATGTATATTATTTGACAAAAACAAATTGAAAAAGCAAGTTTATGTATACTCTGTAACGTATATTGTACTACAAGCACATGTTTATATACTTTGTATAATGTATATTGTGCAGCAACCACGTGTTTATATACTGTAACGTATATTGTACTACAAGCATATGTTTATATACTCTGTATAACGTCTATTGTGCAGCAACCACGTGTTTATATACTCTGTAACGTATATTGTACTACAGTACAAGCATATATTTATAAATTCTGTATAATGTCTATTGTGCAGCAACCACGTGTTTATATACTCTGTAACGTGTAGTGTACTACAAGCCCATGTTTAAATACTCTGTATAACGTCTATTGTGCAGCAACCACGCGTTAATATATTTTGTAACGTATATTGTACTACAAGCACATGTTTATATACTCTGAATGTCTATTGTGCAGCAACCACATATATACTCTGTAACGTCTATATTGTACTACAAGCACGTGTTTGTAAAAATATGTAACTTATTAAACTGTCGCCTTTGGGTTTGCTTTGAACTTTGCTGAACTATTATCCTTGAATTGTTCAGTATATCAATATAAGTATGAGGATTGATGGAAAGATGGAAAGCACAACCATTTGGACGAATAACAGCCTAGATTTTTAAACATTTAGATGGAAAACACAACACACATCAAACACCCTCACCAGGACTTTTTCCGATTAAAACAATTACGTATCAGTTCCAGGGTTCTGTTCTTGATCTTGGTCTGGATCTGGGTCTTGATCTGGATCAGGATAATGGTCATGAAAATGTCCCTGGATCTCCGGGTATGATTGGAATATCGTCAGATCATCGTCATCATTCGAATTCCGACTTTCTGGAAACTGACTATTAGGGTAAATCTGACGTCTACGTTGACCCGGTTTATTTGGTGGAAACTCTGATGATGGGTAATTTCCATCGGCTGGATAATCAGAAGTTGGGTAACCATATGCTGGATAACCTATGCTCATTCCGCCCCCAAATGGATATTTCATTTTAGGATAATATGGTGTTATTGAACTTATCCCTGGCTCATTCTCTAAACTGATATCAGAAAAAATGCTGACATCCGAAAAGCGGGAATCTGAACGTGGGGATTTGTCAAGTTTTTCTGTAGTCAACGGCAACAATAATTGTTCGTCTTTCGTGAATGTATTGGATCTCGAATAGACTGTTGGTGAAAACGAAACAGTCATGACCTTATTTGTACTGGATTGAGGCTCTCTTCGATGCATTTTAAGGGGCTATATTGTGTATAGACAGTTCTTCAGCGACACCGCCCTTCTTTATACTGCACAGCCCTTTATTAACAAAAATCCAATTTTGTCTTACAATAAGCCACATTCATGAATTAAGTCAAGTTTAATTGGAAATCGATTTAAGTTAAAATAGCAAATTGTTATGGTCACTAACGTACAAACATGTAATGCAGTGCACATGCGTTTTGAATTTTGATTTCAGGACTGGCTGTTGTTTGTTTTTGTTGACAGCGATAATCACAACCGCTTCTCGGTTCAGGGTATTTAGTCTGACGATTAATTAAGATATCACAGCGGCCAAATTACATTATTTTAGCGGCCATTTTCGATTCTGAAATAAATACAAATTATGCCTAGATTATATGTGATTGAATATAAACAATACAATAAAATGCTCGTTCACCATGTGAGATTTTCAAATGAAAAGTGGTATCACGTGTTCTACGGAGACTGCCTCATACATTATACTCACCACTTCACTCGATTTGTTTATTTCATAACAAATTCGCTTTCTCTGCCATGAGTCTTAATATCAACATCATGATAAAATATATCATAGATGTAAGTTCAATACACGTTTAATGTGCATAATGGTGGGGCGGGGGGGTGGGGGGGTACAGCGTACAGCGGAATCGAACTCAACACAAATTATTTTTCCGATTAAATCTAAACAAAAACACATATCTTGTCGCGGTATCTATTCATTGTAACATGCTTAAGGGTGAATCTTGCATTTTGATTGGTAAATTAGACACTGTCGATTGGACAATAACACCCCTCTGTTTTAGTAATTTCTTTTAAAATGCTAAAATAGCATGTTACGGATTGATGGTTGATTGAGCTCGATTCCAATGTGCCCCATCACACCCATATTACACCTTAAATATCTTATCCATAGATTTGATTTCGTTATTATACTTTATAATCTATGATATTAAAATAAAACTCATGAACTTTGTGTAAACGTCTAAATGGTAAATATTTTTTTGATTACGTCTTGGGTCCCAATGATCTCCGGACATTTCTATGGGATTAACACCCCTCTAAATGCGGAACAGGAAGTGTTTATCTCCTAAATACACGTCGACATTGCAAATCAAACTTAATCTATAAGGCCACAGCGAAACTCAACCCCGAAGGCAATCGCGGAATCAAACTTCATCCATAAGGCTAAAGCGGAAATGGGGTTTAACGTTCACTCGACACAAACCAGGTCATTTCGTGACTAACATATGGTTTAATTTGCTTGCGCGTAGGGGTCTTTAACAGTGGGAGGAAACCGGAGGACACGGAGAAAACCCACGAGGTTGGACAGGCGACCCTACTCCTTGTCACGTACAACCGGGGATTCGAAACCACGCCAGTTGACTCAATGACAGGTCTAATGATACAGCGCGCACGTGCTAACCATTCGGCCATCCCCCCACCCTGAATGGAGGGAGGCTTTAAACAGATATTATGTTGCCCGTAATGTTTACAATTAAAATATCAAACTGCATTTCAATCTAAGGTTCGCGATGAGGGGGACCACAGCCGAAATAATCAATCCCTAAGGCCACAGTGGAATCAGACTTAATCCAAAAAATATTTACCATTTAGACGTTTAGACAAGGTCCACGAATTTTATTTTAATATCATAGATTATAAAATATACTAAAGAAATCAGATCTGTGGATTAGATATTTTAGGTGCAACATGGGTGTGGCGGAGCACAGTGGAATCAAGCTCAATCAACCATCCATCCGTAAATTTAACAGTTAAAATATCAAACAAAAATACATAACTTACATTGATGTAAATCCAACATGGCTAACAACCCGTAATAATTACAATATATGCTTGAAAGGCAGACGTCAACTCAATTCATAATACATAAAGGTTCCTTTATGAGTATCGAGGCTCTAAAGTCGCTGTAAAATCTTTAGCAAAATCAAGTTGGAAACGGCTAGAAATTCGAAGTTTTCCATGGAAAATCACAAAATTAAAGCCCATATTTATTCGTGTTGTAGTAAAAATACCAATTGAGGGGACATTTAGAGCAGAGCTGCAGCTCTCGTGGGTCCATCGCCCAATACGCCTGGATTCAATACAAGGTTAAATATTTATTTTAGTTGGCAATAATCCAGGTATCTATTGAACTAAACTTATAGTATAATAGATAACGAACAGTGTACAAATAGTCGTATATCTATCTTATTATTACAATGGTCTATTTATAGTCAATCCAAGCGACAATATAAATACTCCATAACGCAGTCAGCCTACAACTGGACACAGATCACAATTAACTTTAATTTTAATTCTTGTCCCTTTGACCGGCTCTAACCTTTTCCCAAATTTTCGTCGGGTTCAACGCTTTCTACCACAGACGGAACAATATGTGGCAACCTCTTGTTCAAACGCGGGTATAAGGTTCATCATAGCTTTCTTGAGATACACAAACTGGAAGTAGCTTACACATAACCATGTTAATTCTAGTATCTATGATCGGCTCTAACTTTTTCCCAAATGTTCGTGGGGGTTCAACGGCTTCTACCACAGCTGGAACAACATTTGACAACAAACTGGAAGTAACATACAAGTAACCATGTAACCGCCGCCCTACATTGCAACGTAACCAACCTCTTAACTGTCTAATCCTGCCGCCTCAAATTCGTGAATATTTGCTAAAACCTGGCAGAAAATGTTTTCAAATCCTTTTCACCAAAAAAGTCAACAAAAATCGCCATGCAAAAGGGGGAAAGTGAAAGGGAGAGAAAGGCTAAAAATAACTTTAGCACTAACTTCGTTGGGTAACCACACACTGATCAGCAGTGAATATTCGCTAGGCCTCCACAATCACTGACAAGGGTGACATCAATGCGACTTAATGAGTCTCAAATATTAACTTTTTTCCAACGACAAATTAAATTCTAAAACATTTTTTGGGTGTATTAAAAAAATAAATAAAGACGTTTGACGTATTTGTAGGTAAAAATTATTTCCTATTTAGTGTAAATGCGTATTAAAATGACTAAAAGGCAGCATTCTGCCCGAAGCAGTAACGTCCTATGTAAACAATGCAGGCACCATTCAGCCAATGACTGGCGCCGCGTGCTGTGATTCGTAATTTTCTGTGAAACAGATTGGGGTAACCAGCGTAGGAATTAATAGTAAGCCGTGTCTAGTTAGCTTCGCTTGAGAACAGACACTAGTTGACCGACATTTCAATTCCTAAATCAACTACAACCACGGAGGCGATTCACTAATTACAAATTGTTTTAGAATATTTTATTAATTACAAATTGTTTCAGTACCAATTACAAATTATTTCAATATCAACTACAAATTGTTCCAGTATCAATTTTACAAATTATTCTAGTTTGATTTATTAATTACAAATTATTCCAGTATGATTTATCAATTATAAATTGTTTCGGTATAATTCATCAATTATAAATTATTCCAGTATGATTTATCAATTATAAATTGTTTCGGTATAATTCATCAATTATAAATTATTCCAGTATTACAAAGTTATCAAGTACAAATAGTTCTTGTATAATTTATCAATTACAAATTCTTCCTGTATAATTCATCAATTACAAATTGTTCAAATATCAATTACAAATTGTTCAAATATCAACTACAACATGTTCCATAATTAATTACAATATTTTTATGTATAATTTTTCAATTACAAACTGTTTCAATTACAAAATATTTTGAATGCATTATGTAAGAGCTAAATATGCCTATTGCAATTCTTTATTTTGGCTTCAAATGTTATATAAACTATTATTTAGACATGTTTCCACATGACAAACCTATACTCAACTCTCTAGAGCATCGGATGTTCGAGATTGAAATGCATTGATTGTCAAGTATCGTTGCTACCATAATAAACAATCTATGCGACATCTACACTGACAACTTCGCACAGAATAAAGTAATTTTAATGAAATTTTAAATATATTCATTTCTAATTAACTATTATTGAACTAGTATAGCAAGTGCGACCAACTCTACATCTACCTCTTACATGACACATCTACATCTTTAATGTGTTCATGAAAAATTGAGTGGCTAGAAATTGTTCATATATAATTGCAAAATGCCCGTATAAGTCGGAATGAAGAATGATAATTAGTTAGGCTTATATATGTTTAACTTAATGGAATTGAAAAACGTAAGAACATCCAGAAATATTATGATGATTATGGGAAACATGAACAAACCAACAGCACTACACCCAACATATACAACATACGGGCGCTCATCAATGCGGCATTCGCGCTTCTGTTTTACCGACACTAATGACTGTCGGTTAATGTGGAGTATGCGCTTGATTTTAGCTTTAAATTCGTCCAAATCGAAGTGGGAGAAAGCCAACACTTGTACGGGCTTGCAATGAAGCTCACACATGTCAGTAGGAAAGCTCGTATGTGTGAAAACTATGGATATGCATCCAGTATGGGTATCTTCTATATCCGCTAGGGTGGTCAATTTACATGAAATGTTTTTAGCAGATAAGATATGGGTCGTGACTGTCTTAACAGTTGTCTCAGTCGAGCATGACTTGTTTGTGGATTCTTTAGTGGTGGTTTTTATCTCTGTTGGGGTCGACTGAGACGCAGTTGAAGACTCGGTTGCCTCAGAAGTTGTTGACACAGATTGAGGTGACGCTGTTTCTGGAGATACTGACTCGGACTCGGTTGTCGCTGGAGTAGTGCCCTCTGTCACAAGCATGGTTGATTCAGTAGTCCATTCTTCTGATTCGAGATCAGCTTTGTGAAAAGAGTAAAAGTAATTTAATTTACCTGGATTATGTACATACATTTAAGCAACACGTCCATTACAATTCACAATGCAGGAGATTCGAGGCTTTAGATACATTTTTTTATATTTTGATTCACAGACAATGGGGAATATCCAACGGAAAGTATATGCAGTAGATATCTAAGCACAATTTAGAAAACGGGCACTTAAAACCGCCTATGTAAGTAGAGAGAGAGAGAGAGAGAGAGAGAGTATATGCAGTAGATATCTAGCACAATTTAGAAAACAATCATTTAAAACCACCTATGTAAGCAGAGAGAGAGAGAAATGGGGTTTAACGTCAACTCGACACAAACTAGGATTCTTTAGCAGTAGGAGGAAACCCGGACCTATGTAAGTAATAAAATACAATGGGTTGATCAAAGACTAAAAAACATATCTACACAACCGATGGTTCTACTTCCTGTAAGTTATTTAAAATATCTGCAGAATTATTGGCTATATTCCCCGTAGTTCATATAAAGTGTCCGAGTATTCAATTCTGAAAAAACAAAATGTCTACAGCAATAATGCCTATACTCACTGCAGTTTATATATAGAATGTACCAACTTGCATCGTAATTTAACGAATGACACCACAGCTGGAGAAATGTGACGTCTACGCATAATCCTGTGTAGTCTTGATTCAAATCTACATTCGATAGTGTGTGTTGTTTAGGCTCTGTTTCTATGGTAACTCTCCAACAATCTCGAAAAAGCCAATGGCCAAGTTGTAAATATCTCATTGTAATGTCCAGCCTTATAACGCCGTTCAAGTAGGCTAAAAAAATAGAAAGAAATGATTATTCGGCTCTGCATTTTTAAATCTGCAAATTGTCAATATCTAAAATATTTCTATAATCATATCCTAATCGCGAAATGTCCTAGATTGTGTTGAGTGGACGTTAAACCCATGTATGTATCTGAACAACATTTTATCGAACTAATTCCTCCTCGAAGAATGTCTATTTATTTGGCGTTCAATGCTTTTCTTATATTCACACTATTTTCTGGGATTTTTTCCATATTGGTAGTGTGTTTACATTTTAGTGAAGCCCGTATCAGACTAGGTCATTTCGGGACTAACATATGGTTTAATTTTATTTCAATAATTCGCTTGCGCGTAGGGATCTTTAGCAATGGGAGGAAACCGGAGGACCCTACTCCTTCGAAACCACGCCAGTTGACTCAATGACAGACCTTATGATACGACGCGCACGCGCAAACCATTCAGCCACCCAACCACCTGATTCTTTCAAAATGGAGTTCGCGGCTTCACTAGCCCGCCGCTATAAGAAATACTCTTAATATTGCCCAATATGCTATTAAAAAACCTAATGAACCCGCGGACTAGTGCACCTTAACCCTAACCCTAACCCAACCCCTAATGATAGATATCGGTGGACTAATGAACCCGCCGACTATAGTGAGCATTCCCCTCAAAATGGCGTACTTACGACACTCGGGTATGGAACAATGTTGATAATTATCTGTAGAAGCTGTGGATGTATAGCACCAGGGCGTAGATTGTGATCTGCCTGGATTACGACAATAGTTTGCATGATCACCAATCATATGATAAGGAAATGGCTCAATACCGTCTAGTTCAGTCATCCAATTAATGCAACCAAGACTTCCTGATGTTGTATTCTTGATACCTTTATAATCGTTACCATCTACTTCTGTTTTACACATTATATCTACAAACAATTCAACTAAAAGACATTAGATGTTCCATAGATAAAACGAGCGAAATCTTGGACAATTTTCTATTCCGATGCTATGTCCCGACGTTGTAACTGAAATGCGATCACACGCCGATATAATTACAATGTTCTATCCCGCCATTATAATATGAGTGCTTTACCCCGACGTTGTAATTACAGTGCTGTATATCAACGATATAATTGCAATGCCATGTCCCAACGTTGAAGTTGCAATGCTATCACACGACGATATAATTCATTGTTCTATCCCACCATTGTAATAAGAGTGCTATTCCCCGACGCTGTATTTACAATGCTATTCCCCGAGGTTGTAATTACAGTGCTATATATCAACGATATAATTGCAATCCTATATTCCGACGTTGTAATTACAATGCTATACCCCGACGCAGTGTGGGTTTACATATAAGCTTGGCAGACTGAAGCCTAGGGTCTCAAGATCTAGGGGGCCTCCGGTCAATGTGTATATTAATAGTTCTGACACTAGAGGCTTTTGGCAAGCGGAATTTTCCCATCCGTATCACGTATCCGTATCGTATACGT